TCGTTATTTCGCGAGGCATCCTTCCTTTGACGGCTATTGCGGTATCATCTGCGAACAGGAAAAACACGCAACCGTCTCAAAGGGGAGGAATGTCGGAAGTGTAAATGCTGTAAAGCAAGGGGCCCAGCAGACTGCCTTGCGGGACTCCTGCTGGGATGGAAAACGTGTCTGAAAGACAACCATTCAACGATACCTTAAACGACCTTTGCTGGAGGTAGCTACGGGTGATTTTAACAAGATGCAAAGGAAAGTTGAAGTTACAAAGCTTGTATACAAGCCCATTGTGCCAGATATTATCAAACGCTTTCTCAACGTCTAACAATGCCATGGCTGTGGACTTGGATACAGCTTTGTTACTTCGGATGTTATTCATCACCCGCACTAGCTGGTGATTGGTGGAGTGCCCCTTTCTGAACCCAAACTGTTCCGGAAGGAGAATGTTATTTTCCTCGACAAACTTGAGCAAACAATTGAGAATGAGTTTCTCGAACAATTTGCTCAGCGCTGAAAGGAGGCTGATTGGTCTGTAGCTTGAAGCTAGCGTTGGGTCCTTCCCGGGTTTGCGGATAGGTATGATTTTCGCTGTCTTCCAGATACTTGGAAAGTAGTGCAGTTCCAAGCATCTGTTGAAGACAGCAGCCAGCAGAGAGTGAACCTTCATGCTGAGATTTTTCAACACTAGGTTGAATATTCCGTCAAACCCGGGGGCCTTCATGTTTTTGGTGCATTTCAGCGCTGAGCAAATCTGTTCCACTGTGATTTTATCCTCCGGAGGGATGGCACAAGGGGAGGAATCAAGTTTGAGTACGCATTGCTCAACCTGAACTTCGAGCGGACTTTGGATGTTGGAGCCAAGCAAGTGCGATTTGGCAATATGCTCACCAATTACATTTGCATCCTCCTGAGGGGTGATTATGAGCCGATCGTCATCATTTTCATCTTTGAGTGGTGGAATGGGTTTAGGGTAAGTCTTTAAGACCTTGGCAACTATCCAGAATGTTCTGGAGCGGTCGTCCAGATTCTGGACAAGCCGCCCGAAACTTTCGTTCCGGAGTGAGACCATTCTGGAAGCAATCTCCTTGTTCAGATTGGCCATTTCACATTTTTTGCCTAGATCTCCAGTCCTCTGAAAGTGGCGTCTACGAACATTTCTCAGACGAATCAAAAGTTGGGTGTGGGAATCAATGGCAATAAACTTACCCCTCACAGGAACTCGTCGGACGCACGCCTCGTCAGCCACGGTTATGGCTTGGTGGAGTCCTTCCAACGCTCGGTCGATGTTCTCCACGGTATCAAGCGGCGGGTTGTCGATGATGTGCCTGTCTACCACGCGTCCAAACTGGGCCCAGTTTACGCGATGGTAGTCCTTGCGCAGGCTTGAAGCAGGAGCCACGTTGCAGCCCAGTTCAGCCACCACCGGGTGGTGGTCGGAGCTGAGTTCGTTCAAGGCTACCGGCTTGGACAAGCCGATATTTGTCAGGAACAGGTCTAGCGTCGATGGGTTGCCTGCCGGTGAGATGAATGTTGGCTCGTCCGAGAACCAAACGGAGTACAGCCCATGCTGTGAGTGGTCGAACAGCAGACGACCGTTCTGGTTCTGCTGGTAGTTCCGCCAGGTCTCATGGCGAGCATTCAGATCTCCTCCAACTACGAAGCGGGAACCGGTACGGGTTAATTTAGCCGCTAGTCCACTGCTGGCGGCACACTGTCGAGGGCAGTAGACGGCGATGAACTGGACGTATCCAGTCGACGACTCCACCTCCACACCAAGGGCCTCGATGATAGTGGTGCGGATATGGGACAGAGTGTGGTATTTTATTCCTTTCTTGACGACGACCGCAACACCACCCCCCTGGAGCTGGTGCGATCAAGCCGGATAATGTTGTGGTCAGGCAACCAGAAGCTGTCGCCGGACTTAAGATGGGTTTCGGTTAGAAGACCCACGTCGATGCTATGCTTGCGGAGGAAGTCGGCAAGCTCAATCTGCTTAGCTCTTACAGAGCAAGCGTTCCAGGAAGCGATGGTTAGCGGTTTAGACACCATATTGGATGATGAACTTACCGAGCACTTGGATCTGTTCGGGCTTATTGCGGCACTTACGTAGAGCACCGGTCATGTTGATAAAAATCTCCATCAGTTCATCTGCTGAGAACAGATCAGGATTGTTTGTTTGAGCTGTTGGTTGCCTCCAGAATCCAGGGGGGATGGAGAGCTTTGTCCAGCAGAAGATCCATACGTTTCTTGAAGGGGCGTGGATCGCACCCTGGGATTCGCTTGTCCATGAAGAGGTGGAAAGTCCTCCTTCCTGAAAGCTGGGGCCTTATCCTTCCTTCGTGCTGGTTGATTGTTGGTGGACGCTTGATTTCGGATGCGCTTGAAGTCCTCGCGTTTAGGGCATTGCTTATTGGATCCTTGGTGAGCACCACCACAGTTGGCGCATTTGGACGCTACAGCTTCATCCGCAGCACATTCGGAGGTGGCATGGTCTTGAGCGCAATTTCCGCAGCGGGGCTTAATGTTGCAGTTGCGGGTACCGTGTCCGAAGTTCAGACACCGCTGGCACTGATGGCTCCCAGCGAACGATGTATGGCTCCCAGCGAACGATGATGGAATTGATGGACCGGATGGCTTTCAGTGCGTTGAGCGTCAACGTTCCCTTCTGGAAGTGTACCAGGAAAAGGCTATCCGGATACGCCTTCACATTCTCGTCTCTTCTTGTCATTCGATACACGGCACTTGGGGCCAGCTTGTTCCGGTCCCTGATTTCATGTTCAATTAACTTCGGGTCGAAATTTGGTAGGCCCCTGATGACGACCTTGAACGGTTTTTCACCGGGGATGTCGTGGGTGAAGAATTCCACCTTGGAAGTCCTCAGGTGGGCGATGACCAAGTCATACTCCGCTTTGGTACGGAGCACCACCTTGGTGCCGACTCTGCCCAATTTGAATTCGGCTTTGACGCCCAGCGACGCCAGATCCGCGATGAGCTCGTTGAGATGGGCATTTTTCACTACCAGCGGAGGTAGCTTCACTCTTGCCGCGCTCATGTCGGCAGCATTTTCTTTATCGACAGCGTCACCGAAATCTCCGTTCGTCGCAGAGGCATCGTCTCGACCAATCGTGCCATCGGACTGGCCTCGATTCTTCTTCCTCTTCTTGCTGCGTTTTTCCAACACAGCTGGCTGGATATTCCCATCCATGGGGAGAACAGCAAACCTGTTCGAGGTAGGCACACCGGAGCTTCCTTCACCGAGGTTTTGGACCTTCGCCGGGCTTCGCGACCGATGCTTCCCTATTACGGGGCACACACACACACGCACGACAAACTGCGAAAGAGAGAGCGCGAACACTATCGCCACGAACTTTTCAAACAACTCGAGAGAGCGAGCTAACACCAAACTGAACTGCTTGACGATCAAGCAGAGAATCAATGACCTATGTGCTGCAGTGAAAACCATGTCTGGTACCTCTATATATGCATTAGATTATTATTCGAAGTCCCTCCTTTTTTACACATTTTGCACACAAAATAGCTCACCCCTCACATAATTTCCCGCCGAATTTTATGTCTGGAGCGGGGCATAAAGTATCTTTTGCGGAGAATATGTAAAAAAGGAGGGACTTCAAATGTTAAAGCAAATGCATATATAGAGGTACCAGACATGTTTTGTAGTGTCAGGTACGCTATTTTGTAATCTGTGAAAGGGAAATAACAAATCGAGTGTCAACAAAATACATGGCATGTTGAGAGTTTGAGGTCGTAAGAGAGAATTTCTCTCTCAAATTTGAATTTTTTTGGCTCTCTGGAGACTGGTAGTAAAGCAGGTAAAATTGTATGGGGAAAAATCATTTTTATTTAATTGTAGCTTGTTTAACAATAATTTCCGGGAAAAAACTGAACGACAAAGTCCCTGATTAATGTCTTTAGGTTGTCGTTCACTTTTTTTCACCTGAATATGCACCGAAAGCGAATTATTCCCACTTCTCTCAATTTCTATATGGGGATTTTTATCACTTCCTACCAGCAGAACAGCGCCATTTCTGCGGAAAATGGTCGAACAAAATGATTAATTGGATTGGTAACAACTACAAGTTATGAACAATCTCAATTGAACCTTTGCAAATCACGAATTTTGTGATAGCGCACATATTATTAAAACGTTTGATAAAAACTCATTGCCCTCATTTAATGTTAAGAAAAGGAATCATTGTCCTCCTTAGTCTCCAATCATTGATTGATCTGTTCATGTCAAAAGAAGGGGCTAAAATCCAGGAACTTTCTCGAAGACAGCACTTGTCTAAAATGCACAATTCACGAGATAATGGGCTTTATTACGAGTGTCACTTTAACGGCGCCGGTGGTGTAGTGGTAAGCGTGATTACCTCTCACCCCAGCAGGCCTGGGTTCAATCTCAGTCGGCGCCGCCGGGATGTTCTGAGGCATAACATCTCTGATCATCACGCCTTCCTTCGGATGGGAAGTAAAGCCGTTGGTCCCCGGTTCATGAGTTGATGGGTCGATAGGTAGGGTCCAGGTGTGGGAGCTGCCTTCCTGGCACGTCGGTAGCATTGGTGCTCAGCACGGAAAACAAGATCGACGGAAAAAACAAACCAAAGGAAGACCGGAACTGAATAAAAACTGAAGTACGCGGCAACATTTTGCAAAAATAAAGCGAAGACGAGAGAACTAATGGTTTAGGTGCAAACAATTTATTCCTCCTAAATACGGCTTTTGAACCAATGTGCACTATATTTATGCTCGTTTACCGCAGAGATAGTTTTGATAAACAAACATGCATTCTGGTTGTCTCGATGTAAGGGACCATCCATAGATGACGTAGCATATTTTTGATCAATCGTATCCCCTCGTAGCGTATTTTGCTATACCTTATATAATGAACGTCACAACTTTTGAAACCACCGTCTCCCCTCAAATACTACGTCATTTATGGATGATGCCTAAGGAGATTGATCGAACTAATAAATTCAGCCTACCCAAGGTTCATAACTTTATTCGTATCTCTCACATTTACATATTGATCGTTTCACAAACTGTTAGGAAAACATTCTCTAGGGAACTTGGAAACTGGTTCGTACTTAGTAGAATGATCAAGGCATTTGGAAGAAAAGGGGGCATGCTTAACATTTAAATACACTTTCGGCAGTTCAGTGATACAAGATTTACAAGATTTATACGCTAATGGGTTGACTTAATCTGAATTCTTGTTTAACTTATTCTGAAAACGTACTATTTTTCCCTTCATTTTTGGTATCGTATCAACTTAGTGTAGTTTCGTAGTGATAGGCATTTTGTTGTGTAAAAAAGGCTCCAACTTAATCTAAGAAAGAATCGCGCTATTAGTTGTTGTGTAAATATCGCTGCTTTTAATTATAGCATTCGTTAGACAAACAATGGAATTCGATTTGCGGCAGTATTTTTTTTATCGAAGGGGAAACAAGAATGGCACATTTAACAGCACTAAATTCGTTGTTGGTAGCTATTCACGTATATTAGGGCTAGTGACTAAATTAGTAAAATTCTATCAGTATTGACGGTTTCGTGATCGGCCCCCTGGTCTGACCCGTCTCCTGGGCGGTTGTGCCGGAGGTGGCGGATAGTAAGGCTTGGGAACCGTTGCTATATCTGGACGTCGCAGAGCGGAAGCTCCGATCGTGCCTTCCGAAAGCACTCGTAAAAATCCGGCCTTACGACGACAGACAATGCACCTAGAGATAAAGAAGAGGTTTCGTTAGAAAATCTACGCAGAGTAAGTGAATTTTTTTCCACAAACCTGCTAATCTTGCTGGTTTGATCGGCCTTTAGCGTCTGTTGCTTCGGTTGGTTGAACTCTTCGCCATCTTCAATGATAGTCAACCAGAACGATGTCATCCCGTCGTAGAAATTGCATGTTCCATGACCGTGGCATTCGATAATCGGTTGTGCACGGAACTCCTCCAAGCATGATCCTGGAGAGGTCAAATCCATACCAAATCCACCGCTGTTGTCAGTTGTGTGCTGCAATAGTCAGAGATAGATACTCCTGCTCACAGCTCCCCATAAAATCAGCAGTAGACTTACCATCACATAGCTGTAGCCGATCCATAATTCTTCCCAGCCTCCAGGACAGTCAGGTATGGCCATCGTTTGACTGTGGATTGAAATCACCCGCGTAGTTGTCTCACAAACGGAACATCTTGAAATGTACTTTTCAATCTCGCGTGATTTCATTGGAGCCATCGACATAGGCATTGGTTCAGGAGATGCCAACCAAATGCTGTCGTCGTTGTTGGCTGCGTAGTTGCATACGTTGTTGATGTCGCAGAACATAAACGGCATGGTGCTGAACTTCTGCAGGCAAGAGCCAGCCGTTCCCAAGTCTTGTCCAACCGATCGACTACTACCAATAACGCTAACCAAAGAGTACCCGTCCCATAGCTTAGCGGTATTCAGTGGACACTCCGGGATATGCACCGATTGCGAGTGTTTGGTAAATATGAATCCACGGCTCTTCGCTGGTGGAGGAGGTGGAGCAGTATCACCAATTTCACCTCGCAATCCTGGATAACCGTCTAATCCATCGCGTCCAGGAGCTCCTTGGAATCCTCTTTCTCCCTTGAGACCCATTTGACCTTCTTCTCCTGCTAGACCTTGCTGTCCTCGTTCTCCCTTTAAACCAACAAGTCCTGGATATCCGGCGGGACCCATGTCTCCCTCATCGCCAGGAGCTCCCTTATTTCCAGGCACACCACGGTCACCTGGTTGATTCGGTCTCCAGTTTTCGAACACAATCGGGTCCCCTCGTTCTCCCTTTCCTCCCTTCAGTCCAAGTCGTCCGAAGAAGCCTTCCTCTCCTATTTCTCCGAATTCTCCCTTCATTCCAGCCAGACCACGCAGACCTGGGCGTCCAACTGGACCGACTTCTCCAAGAAAACCAGGAGGACCTGGCATACCGTCCAAACCAATCAGACCATCATCGCCCTGTTCTCCCTTGAATCCTCGAATAGAAATTCCAATGCTTCCTGGTAATCCTTTATCACCAGGAGATCCCAAGGGGCCTGGTGGTCCTGGAAGTCCTGGTAAACCATCCATTCCGGGGGCACCTTCAAATCCAATTTCACCTCTTCTTCCTTTGAATGCTCCACTTACAGTTCCAGTCATTCCCCTTGGGCCAGGTAGACCGTCGTCTCCGTAGTCTCCTGGAGCACCCTTACTGCCTCGTACTCCTAGACGGCCGGGGAACCCATCGTATCCTGATTCACCTTGGTCTCCCTGCTCGGGGCGTGTGACCAGCGTTCCACGAGGTCCTTTATAACCAGCCTCACCTTGTTGTCCCTTAAGTCCATCCAAACCACTCCTTCCGGATATTCCAGACTCACCCCGTAGCCCGGGATCTCCTTTCCCGCCAGGATATCCTGGACGACCTTTGAGACCCGGAAATCCTGGCATACCTTCCAGCCCAGTATATCCAGTTTCACCTCGGTCTCCTTTTTCTGGTGCTCTGAAGAACAACTCACCAGGCAATCCTGGGAATCCTTTTTCGCCTGAAAGTCCTTGCAATCCAGCTAGACCAATTCGTCCAACATCTCCTCGCTCTCCCTTATCACCAATAAATCCAAAGTATCCCATCTCTCCTTCTTCACCCTGTTCTCCTCTGCTTCCATACAGCCCTCTGAGACCTGGCAAACCACGTGGTCCATCCTTTCCACGACGACCGGGCATTCCTGGGAATCCATCTCTACCCTTATCGCCTTGAATACCCTTTTGTCCTAGAGTACCTTCATCACCTCGTTCCCCTTTAGCCCCTGGTCGTCCAGGCAGGCCATTATATCCAGGAGCTCCTTTTGGACCGTTAAGACCAGGATAACCATCGATTACTAAACCAGCATCACCTTCTTCGCCTGCCAAACCAACCGATCCCACCGCTCCATCCAATCCAGGAGGTCCTCGTAACCCGTACATTCCTTCCTCTCCTTTCAGACCACTGAACGATGGAGCTCCTTTCATTCCTCTTACACCTGGAAAACCTACATCACCTCGTCCACCCTTTGTTCCATTTCGGCCGGTCCTTCCAGAATATCCAATATCACCATCGTCGCCAAATGCTCCTTTCTCTCCTCTTATTCCAGCATAACCACGACGGCCAGTAATACCAGGATTACCTTGGTCTCCAAGTTCACCACGTTCGCCTTGGAAACCTTCCTCACCCATGTAACCGTTAATTCCGCGGAGACCAGGTTCACCAGGCTGTCCATCATCTCCCGAGAATCCAGGCAGGCCATCTCGTCCGGTATCACCTAATTCTCCTTTAGGACCTTGAGGACCTTCCAAGCCAGCCTCACCACGTTCTCCTTTGTCTCCGTATGGAGCCGAACTTCCCGATGTGCCTGGAGCTCCAGGTGCGCCTCTATCACCGTAAACAATGTCGCCAACCATACCTTTATTACCAGGCATACCAGTGCGTCCCATTACTCCATCGTTACCCTTTTCTCCTTTGAGTCCGACTGTACCTGGTGATCCTCGATAACCATCCGGTCCTTTGTAACCTTTGTCGCCAAATTCACCGAAATAGCCAGCCTCACCTTCTTCGCCCATTTCGCCGAACAAAACAGCTCTACCAGGATCTCCCCGTTGACCCTTCAATCCTGCAAGGCCAGGAGGACCATCAATACCAGGTATACCATACTTGCCGTCCTCTCCTTGCAGTCCATGATCTCCGGGCATGCCGAAGTATCCTTTGTAACCAAAGGCACCTTGAATACTATCACCCTGAATACCTGGTGCCCCATCAGGTCCCCGGAAGCCTTCCTCGCCAATTTCCCCTCGGTATCCTTTTTCTCCTTGAGGACCCTCGTCACCAAACTCTCCTCGTCCTCCTTTGTCACCAAAAATCAAGTAGTCATATTCCGCTTCACCACCTGGTTCTCCGCGATTTCCTTGATCACCACTTTCTCCTTTTACGCCACTGTAACAAAAAAGCAAAAGTCAATATTTATTATTTTACACGTGAAGCCTAGCATACTTATCGCCAGGCAATCCGGTGGTTCCTCTCAATGAATACATATTATATGCATTGTAAACAGCGTCTCTTCCATGGGCTCCATCCCGTCCGGGAATACCCGGTTCACCATCTCGTCCTCTGAAACCTGGATTTCCATCGTCCCCAAGTTCGCCAGGTTCTCCATGACCACCCATCACCCCAGGATACCCAGAGTAACCAAAGTCCCCCTTTTCGCCTTGGGCTCCCCGAACTCCCTTGTCGCCAATTTCACCAGGTAACAACAATTGATCGCCAATGAAGTCGATGCGACCTTTAGGGCCTGTCTCTCCTGGCATTCCAGGTTCTCCATTTTCCCCCAGAAGTCCTGTAAAAGTTTGTACAAATACATTACGGAATATCTATTGATAGATAGAGTTAGTAATTACCTGTTAATCCTTGAATTCCTTTCATTCCTGGTTTTCCAGGAGCTCCTTTGAATCCTCTAGGTCCAGGCAACCCTCGATTGCCATCGAAACCATCCCATCCTGGACGTCCAATGTCACCACCGTCACCCTTGAGTCCACTTTGTCCCGGAGGACAAATTCCACAATCTTCACCATGGAAACCTTTATCTCCTTTCGAACCGGGATATCCATTCCATCCAGCATCTCCTAGGGGCCCTGCCATTCCGGGGATTCCATCAGGCCCAGGTGGACCCGTGATATTGTAACCAATTCCTGCAAGACCCTTATCACCTGTCTCACCCAGTTCACCTTGATCTCCTTTATCTCCAAATTCTCCGTTAAGACCCGGTAAACCTGGTTCACCTTTTTCTCCCTGTTCGTTTCTTCCTGGGTAGCCTTTCGACCCTATCGGTCCAGCAGGTCCGAGAGAACCTCTTGGGCCGGCAGGACCTCGTGGTCCACTTTCTCCATCATCTCCCCGTTGACCACCAATTGTGGAACCTTTTCTGCCACGTAGTCCGTCGGCACCGGAGTCTCCAGGAGGTCCTTGTATTCCCATCAATCCTCGTTTGCCAGGATTTCCAGGGATTCCAGCCAGTCCTTGATTGCCGTGGGGTCCAATGTCACCTTGTGGTCCCACTGGTCCAATTATAATAGGGGCCAGGCTAGGGTCGTAGATTCCCGGAGGTCCCCGGACACCTTGCACACCCGGAGTTCCGGAAATACCGTCCTCTCCATGTTCACCATTGTCTCCAATTTCTCCATCACGACCAGCATAGCCTGGAGCACCCTTTTCTCCCTTGTCTCCAGCAGGACCGGGTGGACCATCCTTGCCTTGCTTGCCACGATCTCCAACGTTACCTTCTTCACCTTTGAAACCTTTCAAGCCTCTTTCACCATACGATCCTGTGTCTCCTTTTCTTCCTTGTACCCCTTTAAAACCATCCATACCTTGATCTCCTTTGAGACCTTTGGTTCCTTTGGTAACCGTTGAGTTACTGCCAATCCATGAAATAAAAGTTGTACCGGGTTCTCCAGGTTCTCCAGGACAAAATGGAGTGGAAGCATCACCTTCGCTTCCTAGTTCTCCCTTTGAACCTAAGATTCCATCAATTCCGTTGGATCCGTCAAATCCTGGAAGTCCACGATTTCCTTTGAAGCCATGCTGTCCCATAGGACCAGGGAGTCCCGATTCTCCAATTGCACCTTTAGTACCCTTGGAATTGATACCACCTTCACCCGAGTCTCCACGGAATCCAAGAGGTCCATGCAAACCTGGTTGACCACGATCTCCAGGCCAACCGGGCATACCGGGAATACCCATAGCACCATCGGTTCCATTGCACCCATCAATGCCTCGAGGGCCTCGAGGACCATCATCGCCTGGTAAACCCTGCAATGTGACTTGGTATAAATTTTACTTTCACTAGACTTTAGCAACTCGCTTCATACCGGAATTCCTGAATACCCGACTGGACCACGCTCACCGGAATCACCCTGAAACCGAAAAATATTTGAACTGCTTTAATTATTCCAACGAAATCGATTAACACCACATCACTTACCCTGTAGCCTTTCTCGCCCGTGGGACCTAATTCACCGCGTGTTCCCCATTCTCCCAGATAACCTGGTGGTCCATCGGGTCCAGTTTCTCCCGGGTGACCGGCTGCTCCGGGAACTCCGTGTGGACCAATTTGACCCGGTGTACCTTTGAGGCCTTTACAGTCACATGCCGTTCGGTTGCAATTCTGTGGAAAGGGGAAAAAGCGAGCAGGAAGTCAGTTCAGTCTTTGATCTTGTGGATGTGGGTTCACATTTTTCCAACACCCCGTCGACGTTCGTTGCTGGCGAAGGAGGTCGATTCGGCGTTCAGAAACATTTGGTTGACCTACTTTCCGGTGTAGTCGAGTGCGCTGTTTATTCCTGGTAAAAATGGGACTGTAATTCCCGGGCATGTGTGGATGATTACGGAATAGGTGTGGTACAACTTTGCCATGCACGCAAAATCGAATGTACAGAACGAACGACCGTTCTGCGCTGGATCTGATGATCTTGATGATTCGATAGGAGAGGAAATTTATCGGTTTTCTCCTTAATTAAACATTAGGCGGAGACTGCTGGATAAATGTGTTTGATATATTTTTAGTTTCTCAGTGCTTGGGGTAAACAATTTCAGCGAGAGCCAACAACTATGTACTGGCGATTGCCATTGAGAACGGAACTAACATGATGAAATATCGAGAGCAATGTGGCTCAAGAGAAAAGACTTGTTTGCCGTACAGATTGCTGTTGGGGTCAGATGGAAAATAAACATTCTGCGATGTGCTTGTAAAATTCGGTTGAGGTTGTGGTTTCATTGCGAACATATTCCTATTGACCATCAGTTCCAGAGCAACATGTCAGAAGGGTCTAACTCGAAACGTAAACAATTCCTTTGGATGTCAATTTCTCATGAGAGTCTGCTCTACCAGGTGGTGTAGATAGTTTGCGTTGGTGTGTTGTGAGTCGTGAGAAATGGAGGTTTGAAATCATTGTTTACGTCTCGAGGCGCGCTTTTCTGACTTGTTGTTACCGAATTTAATGTTTAAATCACAGATTAACGCAGTAAAACAACCCGATTTAAATCAGCTGAATTTCACTTGGATATGTTGAGCAATGCATAAATCAGGGCCATCTTTACGGTAGGGCTAAAGCCATAGGGCCCCTTAGCACTGCCGTAGCTAGTAAGGCCTTCCCTGAACTACGGCAAGACTTCTCTGAACTTCGACAGGACTTCCTTATTCTTCGGCAGGCCGTCCCTGAACTAGGAATCTTGGAATTGAAGTTGGCATTTCAGTAGTAGCATTATTATAATTATACAATAATATTGTATTTAATATAAAAATTAATAACTCCGAAACTAATCATTTCCGCGACTTGAAGTCTTGGGCAAAGTTTCTCATCATAATAAGGACCATCTATTGACATAAACAAATATATCTATACTCTTCCGCAAAGATGGCGCCACAATCTAACTTCTTTCTCTGACGTTTTGGAGACTTTATGTCTTGGGCAAAGTTGTTTATCGTGACAAAATAAACAACTCTTTTCAAGACGTAAAATTTTCCAGCCTACTGGTTCCGAGTTATATGGAGTTAAAGAAAAAAATGTCGAAAATATGTTTTTACCCTTCTTACAGAGAAGGGTATAGATATCACTTGAAAAACCGACTATCGATCCGAGGCCCAGAGGGCCGAGTGTCATATACCATTCGACTCAGCTCGACGAGATCGGAACATGTCTGTGTGTGTGTGTGTGTATGTGTGTATGTGTGTGTGTATGTAACGAAATGAATGCGCTCACGTTTCTCAGCAACCGCTCAACCGATTTGGATAAACTTGGCGCCAAATGATAGGTCTTGGGGTCCCATTGAACGCTATTGAACGGTTTTGGAATCGGTGAACCGGTTCCGGAGATATGGCCGGAATAAGATCCGGTGAATATGGGCCTTCACGCTGGATTTAACAGAAAACGTATTAAAACCATCATGCGACACATCAAATTACTACAGAATTCAAAAATAAGATCAATGGAAGTCGTGTTAAGTGTTCCAGACCACATTGGACACACTTGGACATATTCCGGGTACCCCGGGGAAGTTGCTTGAATATCAATTGAATTAAAACCCATTAAATCACATTAAAATACGATGATAAGGTGATTGGTAGCCTCACCAAATAGACTACACCCGGATATATTCCGGGTACCCCCAGGCAGTGGCGTAGCGTCACTGGATGACACGGGGGTGGGGGGCTTGGTCACTGATAATGACAATAAAATAAATAAACTTGAATAAGTAAGGGTCTGATCACACCATAGGTGGATAAATTCGGGTTTTTTTCTTTCTGTTTCGGTTTTTTTGCTTACAACCATATAATGTTATATTTTTCTCTTATGTGAATGCATTAAATAAATAACTTTTGTGAAGAAACATACTGGGTTAAGCTTCAAAATTTTAAAGATATCGTTGAAAAAAATGAAAAAAAAACAACAATTCAGGCATAACATTTGATAACGGCACAAAAGCATTTGTTAACAAACTTTCTAAGACTTCACTGATATATAATATGCATTTAAACCACCGACAAACCAACATGACACTTAATTCTGACTTATGTGCAAAAATCGTAAACGGTCGATTTAAATGTGCAGTGATCTGAACTGTCAAAACCATAGGATTTTTTGATCTGGATAAAAATAATTTGTCCAGAATAGATCAGACACGAACCAATTTATAACTTTTGCATGTGGGTTCATGGCTTAGCTAAATATTTCCCGCGAACCCGGAGCCAGATGTCATTAGTGTGCTTTGGTCAGAAATTTTATTGTTTTTGCTATGGTCATTCATGTCGGTTTGTCGGTGTTTAAACAATATATTTAAAATTAAAACTCTTGTTTTCACATTTTTTTCTATAATTCCAAATAACTCGAAAACAGTAGGCTGAAGAGGTCTGACGTCTTAAGAAGAGTTGTTTATTTTATCAAGGTAAACAACTTTGCCAAAGTCTTCAAAATGCCATTTCAATGAAAATGACTTATAGAAGTTATAGAAAAAAAAACATGTTCCAATAAAATGAAGAAATCTCAAAAACACCATAATATACTTCTCTCAAATTTTGATATTTTGTTTATCGAGTATTGCTTAATTTTTGCTGAAAATGTCAAATTGCGATTTTCTGCGCCTTGGGAGATATTAAAGTTCAAAAATTCAGGCATAACATTTGATCACGGCACAAAAGCATTTGTAAACAAACTTTCTAAGGCCCTTTACACGCGAACCAAAGTACGCCCACGCAAATCAATACCACTTTCGGAAAGGTGATAGTTTCCGACTTTAAAAGGTGTATGTTGATTTTTTTGTTATTTATGCATTTTTAAGGTTTGTGCATTTTGGTATTAAAGTGTATTCAATTCACTCCTCACAGGATTTCCTTTCGAATTAATCATTTTGTTCGACCATTTTCCACAGAGATGGAGCTGTTCAGCTGGTAGGAAGTGATAAAAATCCCCATATAGAAATTGAGAGAAGTGGGAATAATTCGCTTTCGGTGCATATTCAGGTAAAAAAAAAGTGAACGTTCAGTTTTTCCCGGAAATTAATGCTAAACAAGCTACCTGCTTTACTACCAGTCCTCAGAGAGCCAAAAAAAAAAAAATTCAAATTTGAGAGAAAAATTCTCTCTCACGAGCTCAATCTCTCAACAAGCCATGTATTTTGTTGACACTCGATTTGTGATTTCCCTTTCACAGATTACAAAATAGAGTACCTGACACTAAAGGGTGATACGGTCAAAATTTGGTCAAGGGAAAACGCGTGTAAATCGGTGAAATCGTTTATTTAAAAAATCAAATTAAATTTCTTTTTCAAGTTCAATTAGTATAAAATTCAGGAAAAATATTCAGTTAGGCTTCCGCTTTTCCAAATCCGAATTGCCGGGCCTTACGCTTGACCCCTGCCATCAGATTTTGTACAGCCACCTTGTCCACCTTCTTCGCCGCAGAAAGCCAGTTTGCCTTGAACTGCTGCTCGCCCTTAGCAGTTTTTTTGGTCTTCTTTAGGTTCCGCTTGACAATAGCCCAGTATTTCTCAATTGGGCGGAGCTCTGGCGTGTTGGGAGGGTTCTTGTCCTTGGGAACCACCTGCACGTTGTTGGCGGCGTACCACTCCATGGCCTTTTTACCGTAATGGCAAGATGCCAAATCCGGCCAAAACAGTACGGAACAACCGTGTTTCTTCAGGAAAGGCAGCAGACGTTTATTCAAACACTCTTTCACGTAAATTTCTTGGTTGACAGTCCCGGAAGCTATGAAAATGCTGCTTTTCAAGCCACAGGTACAGATGGCTTGCCAAACCAGATATTTCTTTGCGAACTTTGACAGTTTCATGTGCTTGAAAACATCTGCTACCTTTCCCCCTCCTTTTGCCGTATAAAACTCCTGTCCCGGAAGCTGCTTGTAGTCGGCTTTGACGTAGGTTTCGTCGTCCATTACCACGCAGTCAAACTTTGTCAGCATCGTCGTGTACAGCCTCCGGGATCGCGCTTTGGCCGTCGTATTTTGTTTATCATCGCGATTTGGAGTCACTACCTTCTTGTAAGTCGATAGTCCGGCTCGTTTTTTGGCTCGATGCACGGTTGTAGACGATACACCCAGCTTATTTGCGGCATCTCGGAGAGAGAGGTTAGGGTTTCGCTTGAAACTACCGGCAACTCTCTTTGTCGTCTCAGCGGCTTCCGGTTTTCGATTTCCCCCCGATCCAGACTTCCTGGCTGTCGACAAACGTTCCCCAAACACTTTAATTACATTTGTAACGGTTGATTTGGCAACTTTTAGCGATTTTGCCAACTTTGCGTGCGAGTAGCTCGGATTTTCGCGATGCGCGAGCAAAATTTTGATACGCTGCTCTTCTTGCTTGGACGGCATTTTGACAACTGAAGAGTGAATTCCAAAATCAAAATAGGAGCAACATTCTACACACACACACCTTCAAAATGAGGGGTGTTCAGGTTTTTTAAATGCAAAATTGAAAGAAATACGTCAAGTTGATATTGACCAAATTTTGACCGTATCACCCTTTAGTCCTACGTCAAAATCGTTGGCCAGTTCGGTAAAAATTAAAGCTACTAAAAGAAATATTTATCTTCAGAAAAGGTTCTGATTTTGTGCAAATCAACATTATACGGTTTTCTACACACAATATAAATCACCG